CTGGGTTATTGGTCCCTTTGCATCCACCTTCTGGCTGCGGGAAGGAGGCGGTGGTGTGAGTCAAGGCAGTGCCTGCAGTGCTGGCGGGCACGTGGGGGCTGCTGTGCTGCCGGGGGGACCCTTGCCCTGGGGCCATGCCAGAAATCCCCCCGCAGATGGCTTCTGGCCCCAGCCGCCTCTCGGCGGGGATTTGGTGGCCATGCCACCTCGGGGAGGGGGGACAGCTGAGAAAACATCATGGGGGGATGCAGTTGCAGAGCAGGGGGGTACCCTGGGGCTCTGGTGTTGAGTGCCGTGGGCATGGAGGGAGGCAGTGGCGATGGGGCGGTGTGCCGGGCCTGGTGGCAGCTCTGGGCTGCTCAGGGCTGGGGCAAGCTCCCCTCCTGCTGGCCCAGGCCTGGCTGTTGTGCCAAGCCTGGCGCACTGGCATGAGGGGGGCAAAGGGCGTTTGCCCAGGGGTGCGGAAGTCCCATGCTCCCAACCCGGCACTGTGGGGTTTTCCCACTTGGCAGGAGACGTTTCTGGGGCAGGCAGCACTGGGGGGGCTCTTGCTGAGTCCCTCTGGCTCCTCAAGGAATGTGCCTCAGTTTTCCCTTCTTTGGAGCAGGCTGGCACCTCCTCTGCCCGCTCAACCTGGCTGCCAGGTGGGTGCTGTGGGCTGTGCTGGGATGCAGTGTGCTGCGTGGGGGGCACGGTGGGAATCCAGGCCAGTGGGCAGGGTCCTGGGGACGCTCAGCGCGGTGTGTGAGCCCTCAGCACCCTCCCGGAAGGGAGGCAGCAGCCACTGGAGTTTGCCACGCAGCATTTGCCATGCCAGAGGGGTTTGCTGTGCTGTGGAGCACGGGGGATATCGCAGGGAGTTGTCAATGCCAGGAAACCCGAGAGAAAAAGGTGGATGGACGGGCTGTGCCCATGTCCTGCAGCAGCAGCACAGGGACATGAGCGTGCCCCAAGCCCCCAGCCCAGGCGTCAAAGCCCCTCCATGCCATCAGCAGGTCCGGCCTCGTTGGCTGACAGACTACACGTGGGGAAAGGCTGAGCTGCCGGCTCCCTGCCTGCCGCGGCTGCCGCCTGCATCCTGCCCGGTGTTGACAATTAGCCATGCAGGAGGTGATGCTGTGCAGCGTGCCGGGGGAGGCGGGCGGTGTGATGGATGGGCAGGCAGAAAGGACACGGCTGGGTTAATGACCCACAGAGCTGGAAGAGAGGAGGAGAGAGGGGTGAGAGCTGGGCAGGGCTGGTGCTGGAGGGGGCTGAGAGCAAGCCCTGTGTGCACCCCCCCCCCCAAATCTAAGTGTTTTCAGTGTCAGGGTTCAGGGTTTTCCCCAAGGATTCCTTTGCCTTGGTCCAGATGGGCAGGACCACACTAGCCACCCTGGCTGCTTGCTCCTTTCTTCCCTGTGGAGATGAGGATTTTGGGATGCAATTGCTGCTGCCAACCAGGCCGGGATGTCCCTGGCTCATAGCCGTGCCGCGGCACACGTGCTGCCCGTCCCTCTGTCTGCAGCCACAGCTGCAGCCGGAGGGACAGGCAGCACGTGTGCCATGGCAGGCACCTTTCCGAGCTGCTTCGACATGCCTGTGCACCATGTGGGTTTGGGATGTGGGGGGAAACCATTGCCTGCACCCCAGAGACTGGGGCAGGTACCTAATTAGCACAGTTAATGAGTGAGGGAGAGTCTAGTGCTAGGGCTGCAACTCCCAAGAGACAACCAGGTTAGCGGGGCAGGGGGCGGGGAAGGCTGGCCTATTTTTTGGCTGTCGGTAGTGGTTGGGGTGCTGGAGGGGGTCTATAGGAACCTGCCATGTTGGGGAGCTGGGAAGGGTTGGGACCCCCACCCTGCTGCCCACCCACACTGACTGGGGTGACCCTGGGTCCCTGGTGATGGGAGTGAGCAGCTTTCCCCATGACAGGGTGTTGTCCAGCCCCATGGGGACAGGAGCGGGTGAGGATCATTTTGGGATCTGCTGAATCCTTCCTGATCACTGCTCCCCATTCCCAGCACCCCCCCCCAAAACACCCGTTCCCCCATCTCCTCAAACCTCCCCATCAATCATGTCTCCCTACTCCACACCCCCAGCTTGGCTTTCTCCGGACTGTAATTGCCGGGGCACCCCGTGGGGTGCTTTGTGCCGGCTTCTGCGCGGAGGTGGTGAAGGCATTGTTTTTCAGCTGCCAGGCGCAGGTGCCCCTGCTGGGCTGAATGGCCCCAGGACGGATGGGGTCTTGCTGCCGCCCCCTCTTTCTCCTCCTCCTCACTGCAGCTGGGGGCTGCCGGTTGCCTGCACCAGGTTTTGGGAGTGCAAGGGCAGAGTGGGAGGGGGGATGCTGTGCTGCACCCTGGCACTGGTCCCCTTAGGGCTGGGCATGGAGAGAAGGGGCAATGGGGAAGGAGGGAGTGCCGGTTTCAGGGTGCATCAAGACATTTGAGATGCTGGCAAACGGGTGGGGGGGGCACATCCTGCCCGCGTGGGCCGGGCGCTCAGCTCCCGGCGCTGCCTCGGCAAGGGCTCTCCCAGCAGCTGAGCGGAGGCGGAGAGCAATCCAGCAGCTCTGCTTGGTTCAGCTCTGGCTGCAAGGAGCTGCAGCGAGCGACTGGTCCTGGAGTGCTTGCACCAGAGCCAGGGGACTGCAGGCACCAAGGGGGGCACAGCAGGGTGCATGCCAGGGATAGGAGCATTGCCCACGAGGTGGGGACAATGTGCACGGCCATGGCGGACAGGGGCATGTCTTGTCCGCTATTTAGAAAGGGGGACCATACTCCTGAATTCCTGATGCTGTGGTACATTACAGCCGCTCGGTGGGGCTGAAAGACTCGCCAGCATCCTCCTGGGGGGTTGGGGGAGGTCAGTGGGGTTATTGGTACCCTGAGGGATGAATACTCCTGGTCCTTGCTGGAGGCACTGGGCACCCCGCAGGCTCAGGGTTCCCCAGGGATGGGGCGAGTGGTGCCTGTGGATGTAGGGGCGTTGGGGCAGCTGTGGGAGGGCTGGGCGCTCGGTGGGGCTGAAAGACTCGCCAGCATCCTCCTGGGGGGTTGGGGGAGGTCAGTGGGGTTATTGGTACCCTGAGGGATGAATACTCCTGGTCCTTGCTGGAGGCACTGGGCACCCCGCAGGCTCAGGGTTCCCCAGGGATGGGGCGAGTGGTGCCTGTGGATGTAGGGGCGTTGGGGCAGCTGTGGGAGGCCTGGTAGGGTGGTGCTGCAGAGCCAGGCTGTGGGGAGGGCTGCCTGCCAGGGGCTGGATCCTGGCCTAAAGACAAGGAAAGCAAGGTAGGGCCTCTGGGGCCAGGCCTGGAAACCTCCTTCCTGCAGTGGGAGGGTGGCACGCGGCTCCCAGGCAGTGCATCCTCCTGGCTTGACACTGGTGAGGGACTGGAGCATGTCTCGTATGGGGAGAGGCTAGGAGAGCTGGGGCTGTTCAGCCTGGAGGGGAGGCAGGGGCTGGGGGGTTCTCAGTGATGTGGATAGATATTTGAAGAGGAGGGTGCAGCAAAGAAGGAACTGGGCTCTTTTAGTGGTGTCCACCCATGGGACAATGGGCACAAATGAAAAAACAGGAAATTGCATCTGAACACAAGAAAACACTTTTTTCTACTGTGAGATTGGTCAAACGCTGTCATGGGCTGCCCAGAGAGGCTGTGGAGTCTCCATCCGTGGAGATATTCAGAACCCATGGGTTGAGTATCTCCATGATACTGGGCAGCTCCAAGTGACCCCCAGTGGGCTCCATCCCAGAGCTCCCCGCCAGCTCCCGCCATGCCGCAGCCAGCCAACACTGAAGCCCATCTCCACCCCAGCTGTGCCCCACGTTGCTCCCAGCCCAGTGGCACATGGCCTACTGGGGGCTGGCAAGGGGCCCGCCTGGTCACTGGGTCACCCCTCGCAGTGGGACTGTACCGTGGGGCACAGTGACGCTGCCTGGGACCGTCCCTGCTGAGGAGGCTGCAGCAGGGCAGGGGAAGTTGGGCT